AATAAAGACGGAGAGTTAAACTGCAAAATAAAAATTTTAATAGCAAAAAATAGATTTTACATACATTCCATAAAATGTAGAGAAAATATGTACACTGAAAGCTATGAAGCATGGTTGAGAACTTTTAAAAAAGAACCTAAATAAAGATAGATATTCACTGGATTAGAAGTCTTTTTTTTTTTTTTTTTTTTTGGATTAGAAGTCTTAATACTGAAAATATGGCAAGCAATTCTCTCAAAATCAATCCATGGATTTTAGACAATCCATCCCATTCAAAAGTCACAGCACTCTTTCTTCTTTTATGTAGAAACTGAAGCACTTATTTTAACTTTTTTGTAAAAATGCAAAGGAACTGTAATAGCTGTAATGGTTGATGCACTGTGTCAACTTGAGAAGTTTGGAAGTTTAACTAAGTGCCTCAGCAGGAGGCCAGGATCCTCACTTTGTAAACATCCTGTGCAAGAAAAAGGCAAGGAGATGGTGTGAGTGCTACACCTGCCCTGGAAGGGGCAGCCTGCTTACAATATGAGGGAGAAAAAGAGGCTTGTCCTCTTGTTGCTTTGCTGCAGTCTGCTGCCATGAAGTGTTGCCCCTGTGCCATGCCACCCTGCCTTGGAGCCAGCTGAGTACGGACTGAAACTTCCACAAACTGTGAGCTAAATAAACCTTTCCTTCCTTAATTTTGGGTGTCCGGTATTTTGTCTCAGCAATGAGAGAAAAGTAAGCAAGACAATAGCTAAAACAAGTATTAAAAGAAAAAGAAGGAACAAAGGAACAGGACTCACCTTATTTCAAGACTTATAATAAAGGTGCCAGATGTGTTTGTTTACATACATATGTGTATAATTGTATGCATCCCAGAGCACTAGCCTGGTTTACACATTTGTAGAAGTGTTACTCACTCATATATATTTTACACATTTTAAAAGTACCCAGAAGGCTCCTTTCAGATTCCACCTAAAAAAGGTAAAGAATCATGAAGAGATCTGATAAGATAGCACTGAATGACCAGAAAAGGAAAGATAGCTTCAAAACAAGGAAGCAGAAAGATGATATGGGAGGGCCATCGGAGAAAACATGTATGAACCCTGAAACTGAAAAACGTCGCTTAACACTGACGAAAGATCAAGCATGAAAAGGTCAGGAAATTCTTCGGAAGTCATCGCTGAAGTTTGTGAATGGTGTTTCACCATAGTGATGGAATTTAAAGCCAGAACAAGGTGGGCTGATGAGCCAATAGTGCTTCAGGGTGAGAACAAAGTCATGGATGCTGAGAAGCTGGCAGTTTTTATCTGAGCAGGACAAGCAGTGCCAGGTTGGCAACTGGGCGAGTCTGAATATGTGGATGACACTTTCTCTTAGCCCTTAACAAGTGCCTTTTCCCAGGACAAGTCCCAGGTCTCCTTGATTCCTTACCCATTTTACCGTAATAGAGTACAGCTGACACTGGTGGAGCGCTGGCGATCTTATGTAAAGTAGTAACTTGCATGGAAATAATGAGAGTTTTGCTGGTTCCTTGCACTCAGCAGCAACATTTGAGGGTGACTGACTCTCAGCCTCCACTGACCGCTTCCCATTATACTTTATGACTACGTGTGCTCTGTTATTTACTTGGCACTGCTGTTGATGTTAAGAGCCACATACGGAGTTCTTTGGTTTTGTGTGTGTGTGTGTGTGTGTGTGTGTGTGTGTGTGTGTGTGTGTTTAAATCAGGAATCAAAATCAGGGCCTTGCTAACATTTGCCAGACAACACGTACTGAGTTCTTGTGATGAGGGTATTAACAGTTTTCTTTGTCCCTTATCTTAATTTCATGCTCACAAGATTATGTGTATCAATTTTAACTTCTCTGAGAAGGAATCTTTAAGAATAAATGGCCACAGAATAAATTGTGATAACAGCTGGGAAATGAAAGTTTTGTCAAAGTCACTGGAAACACGAGAGTCTCAGACTCAAATATAGATTACAGTTCACCCACAGTGTGTCACATATTAGGTACTTAATAAACATCTGTGGAACCAACAAATAGAAGTTCACATAATGATGAAGACCTAAGTGCTGGATTGGAAAGTGAATTGGAAACAATGCTGACAGCTGCACATCGGCCAGTAAGTTCTTTCAGAGATCAGTGTTAGAGAATTGTCTGTGGAGTTCTCTGAGTGAGTTGAGTGGTATTGTCAAAGAAAGAATTTAGTTTTTCTCTAAATGCGGCAGAAAGTTCTTGAGAAAGTCAGATAAGGACACAAAATTTGCTCACTGATAGTCTTAAACTTATTAATTTGAAAGTACTTAAAAGAGCCTCCTGGCATCTCTGTAATTCTGAGCAAATAGGACAGGCCCTCATCGGCGGCTTACTGCACGTGCCCCTGGCATGCGTGATGGTTCACAGTTGTGTGTACAGACACTGACAGCTGGAAATTGAGAACTGCCCAAGGAGAACTCAGCATAATCACCCTTCTGAGGTTCATTTACTTTACTGTTGCTGCTAATGGGAGCTCAGTGGAACTTGCCATTTTCCACCCCAATCTGTTTTGTAACTGCTTTCAGTTTCACACCCAAGCATTTTACTGCAAACTTCTTGCATCATGTAACTTGAACAGGAAAATTCCTCAAACCTAATGTGGATTATTTCTAAGGCTGTAATATAATTTGAGTTTATTTTAGAGTTAGGGAAATGGGCAGTTAAAAGCTTAAATAATGCAGAAGTAAATTGGGATTTGGTGATCATCTGTTTATTCAAAATTAGCTTTTGAAGTCTTTTTTTCTGCAAGTCACCATGCAAAGGTGGGAATACGACAGTAGCCAGGGAAGCTATGGAGCACCCTTACAGAGCTTGGGAGGCGTGTTAGCTCCTACGTTGCAGAAAAGCTAGTACACACGTCCATTGTACATGACGTATGCTAACCAGTACAAATAGGGATGAAAGCATACTCTGAACACTGGACATTTTTAGCTAAAATCTCAATCTCCAGTTAAGTATCTTTATTTCTATGTGCTCATTAAATATTTTTCCCTCTAAATTTTTTTTCAAATTCAAGTTTTTCTGAAAATGTGACTGGACAATGGAGTCTCCCTTCTCTCCTTTATCAGAACTCTTTCGCGCTTTTTCCTGGCCTCTTTAATTCTGTATAAAGCATTGAAAGTTAGGTGATGTGTTGAGCATGTCCTAAGTGGAGGGGTACAAAGGTGAAGACTAGTGGTTTCTGTCTCCATTTAGCTTGGTAGAGGAGACAGATAATAGCAGAAGCATTATAATGCTAATTTAAAGTGTTATGTGAGAGGTGTATTTTTTAAAAAGCGTCATCTTCAAGAATTCAGCATATGATTGTTATTTTAGAAATATGAGCAGAACTAGTTGAAAATCCAAATAACAATATATACTCTTAGGATATTTTATTTAATGAGCACTGTCTGTGTTTTAGGCACTTACATCAATTCATCTAATGCAGGTAGAAGTCTGTGAGGTAAACGCTTTATAGCCCCTCTAGGGAAGGTGAAAGAGACACAGACATACTTTAATCGCGGGCAGAACTCATGTAACTACTGAGAGGGCTGGTCGGGTGTAGCTCAGGCAGTCCGGCCTCGCAGGTGCACTTCTAACTTCTCTATCCTACGTCATTCCCGACTGTCTCGCCTCAGTTTGGAAGGAGACACCTGCGTCCTGAGGCTCCTAGTGTCTCCTGTCAGGGAATAAATACTGCCCTTTCCGTGGTCGAGTGTAAGCATATCAAGTGATCTGGCCGATGAAAAGTAAGCAGAGACAACACAAGCCGGTTCAGAGGGGCGCTCTCGGAGGCATGCCCACTTCCCGCAGTTCAGAGGGGCGCTCTCAGAGGCATGCCCACTTCCCGCAGTTCAGAGGGGCGCTCTCAGAGGCATGCCCACTT